CCGTATATTGTTTTAAGAGGTATTCTACGCAACCACCCGCTCAGGCGCATGTAGCCGTGTCCGGGGAGGCACCATCGGCCTCCGTAACGCATGCTTCGGATGGGTGGTATCCCGACACCGGGGCCACCGCGCACGCAACTCCTGATGTGTCAATGATCGGCAATTCCGAGGAATATGGTGGACCGGATGTGCTACGTGTCGGCAATGGGGAAGGTTTGGCCATCTCACGAGTCGGTCGCACGTCTATTCCGTCCAAATCTAAAACTCTCCACTTAAATGATGTGTTATATGTCCCTCGTTTGTCTGTACCTTTGTTGTCCGTTCATAAGTTTACTAATGACAACAAAGACTTTTTTGAATTTCATAACGATTCGTTTTTGTGAAGGATTCCACAACCAAGGCGGTTCTACTTAAAGGATCCACGTCTGGCGGGTTGTACAAGGTTCCAAAGTTACGGTCACAATATGCGTTCGTCAGTTCCCGTGCCACTCCCACCGTCTGGCATAACCGGCTTGGTCACCCGCACAGTCAAGTTTTAAATAAAGTATTGCAAAGCTGTCCCGTCACAATCAATAAAAACACAACTCCCGAGCAATGTGCATAGTGTCATCTAGGAAAATCGTCCCGTTTTAAACTAGATAGTGTTCCCTATTCCAGTAACAATGTACTTGATTTAATTTTCACCAATATTTGGGGACCTTCCCCGGAACTATCTAGTAGTGGTAATCGTTACTTTTGTTTATTTGTAGACGATTATTCCAGATTTTGCTGGTTTTGCCCATTAAGGGTGAAATCAGACATATATAAAGTTTTTGAGTCGTTTCGTGTCCTGGTAGAGTGGCAGTTTTCGCGCTCTATCAAGTCTATTCAGTCCGATCTAGGGGGTGAATACCGCAAACTCCATACAATATTCCAAACTCTAGGCATAAATCATCGCCAATCATGTGCCTATACACATGAACAAAATGGCAAAGTCGAACGCCGAAACCGGCATGTAGTTGAAACAGGTCTTACCCTACTTGCTGAAGGCAAAGTCCCGCAACAATATTGGGACTACGCCTTTGAAACAGCAACATGTTTAATCAACTACTTACCATCATCAGCAATTAATTTTGAAAGTCCATACACCCGTTTATTCAAAACGTCACCACCCTACAATTTCCTCCGAGTCTTTGGGGTGTCGATGCTACCCACATCTCCGTCCATATAATCGACACAAAATCGAGTACCGCTCTAGTCCTTGTGTCTTCCTAGGTTACCCACCCTCCTTTAGGGGATACAGATGTGTTGACTTGACAACTGGGAAAACCTATATCTGCCGCCATGTGCGGTTTGACGAGACTAACTTTCCTTTTGCAACAGGAAATTACACACAAGTATCTACACCTCCGGAGATACCCTGGCCGGTAGCACCCTTGTGCCTACCGGCACCAAGTAGTCACGTTTCACCGACTAATACTATACAGTCTGAAAGTGAACCATTACCACTGGCAAGGGCTCCACCTCAGTTGGCAATCACACAGACTGCTCCGGTACGGCCTCGCAAACGGCGTGCACAACCCCAAGGTCGTGATCATGTTATGCGCCTTTGTCACATGACCAAAGGCACATCGGAACCATTCCATGCCTTAGCAGCGGTTACTGATCCTACTTGTTACTCGCAAGCTGTAGGGCATCCCCACTGGCGAGAGGCCATGGATCAAGATTTCAACGCCTTATTACATAATCACACTTGGCGTCTGGTTCCCCCCGAGCACACATGAATATAATTGGGTGCAAGTGGGTATTTCGGACGAAACGTACTGCAAATGGGTCAGTGGAACGGTACAAGGCTAGGTTGGTAGCCAAAGGATTCAATCAGGTAGCGGGTGAAGACTTCTTCGACACATTCAGCCCAGTTGTAAAACCAACCACGGTCAGGCTCTTGTTTTCTCTAGCCGTAACCAACAAGTGGACTCTACGGCAACTAGATGTTCACAACGCTTTTTTGAACGGCCACTTAGCAGAAACAGTTTACATGAAGCAGCCACCGGGGTATGAGGACCCGTCCACACCAGGCCATGTATGCCATTTACAGCGGTTATTATATGGTCTTAAACAAGCTCCACGTGCTTGGTTTAAGCGTCTTCACAATTTTCTATTCTCAGCAGGGTTCAAATCGTCAAAGACAGATGTATCCTTATTTTACTATACTTCAGGCGTTGCGCGTGTCTATCTCCTTGTATATGTTGACGACATAATTATGATGGGGAACGACAGCACGCTGGTTAATACTATCCTCCAGCAGCTAGCCTCTACCTTCAAGATTCGGGATCTAGGCTCACCGGGTTTCTTCTTGGGTATTGAGACGGTTTCGTCTACTAGCGGGATGTTTCTATCACAGCGACGCTATATGACTGATCTGTTAGGGCGTTCAGATATGGTTGACTGTAAGCCTCTTACCACACCAGCAGCTGTCACGAAGACTGCTACACCTTCCACTCAACTCTATGATAATCCTACCCAGTATCGGCGTATTGTCGGGGCGTTACAGTACTTAACTATTACGAGGCCGGATTTGAGTTTTGCTGTAAACCGTCTATGTCAGTTTATGCACGCACCTACGGAGGAACACTGGGGTATGGTGAAGCGAGTATTGCGGTATATAAAGGGCACTCTGAGTTTTGGGCTTCGGATCTCTCCGTCTGCATCATCCGATATTCATGCTTATTCAGACTCTGATTGGGTTGGTTGTCCAGTAGATAGGAAAAGCACGAGCGGGTTTGCTGTCTACCTTGGTGATAATTTAATCTCCTGGCTCTCGAAGAAGCAGCGTACTGTAGCTAGGTCCTCCACTGAGGCTGAATACAAGGCCTTGGCTGATGTCTCCGCCGAGGTTACTTGGGTCGTTTCTTTGCTGCGCGAGCTTGGGTTACATTCCGGGAAGCCTGCAATGCTATGGTGTGACAATCTAGGGGCTATGTATCTATGTGCTAATCCGGTGTTCCATGCACGTACGAAACATGTGGAAATAGATTATCACTTCGTCCGTGACAAGGTTGCTTCAGGTGACTTCCTCGTCAGTTATGTTTCTACGATAGCTACCTGCTCCGCGCTTTGCTGCCATGCGTGACAAGCTCAATGTTGTTGCCCTCCAACCTTGTGCTTGAGGGGGTGTGTTAGTATAAGTTATTATTATTATTATTATTATTATTATTTCTTTTATATGTTTATATTATGTGGCTTAGATAGCTTGACTTAGTTTAGCTATTTGATAGGATTAGTTAGAGTTAGATATACTCTGTAATCATGTTGTTACGATTGTTAACGAAATTCCTTTTCCAATCGTGCCTCACAACCATTATATGCTAATAGTACTTGAAAAGAAACTAATAATAATAATATAATAATAATAATATAAGTGGTAATAATAATATCTAAAAGTAATTAAGTGTTAATAATAATAGTAAGAATATTAACGTAAGAGTTGTAACATAGAATAAATTGTAATAATTAATAACTATAGTCTAGGATTAAATTTGGAATTGTCAGGAAAGATAAACGACCTCTGGTGGAATTAACTCTTAAATAATTATATATCGATTTAAATATTCTTAATATATTACAACAATTCCATTCCGTGCATCGCACGGGTGAAAATACTAGTACTTGTAAAAAATAATCATGTTATTAAATTACAATCAACTGAATCAACCAATAATCGTAAATGACAAAATCAAGGTCATATTTTATAATAAAATGTCAAACAACACAAGTATAATAAGTAGGAATTCATAATACAAAAACCATACAAGTTTGATAACTACATGTCTACAAGTCCATAATACAAAAGTCCATCACAAATTCACAACTCATAAGTTTAACAACAACAGAAATCATAAGTCCACAATACAAACATGAAACATTAAACATAATAACAACAATCAGGGCCGGTTTTTCGATTTTTGTGGCCCCGTTCTTGTAAATGAATGAGGCCCTACCAAAAGCTTAATTTTTAAAACCAATACCGTAATTTTTTGAATAATAATAATAATAATAATAATAATAATAATAATAAAGTTGTAAAATATTGTTGTGCGCAAAGAGAAAGACAACAAACATATTATGAAATAAATTACAACAACAACAATAATAATAATAATACCAATAATAATAATAATAATAATAATAATAACAACAACAACAACAACAACAACAACAACAACAATAATAATAATAATAATAATAATAATAATAATAATAATAATAATAATAATGAGGTAAAATGGAAGGTTTTTAAAAAGATGGAAGGTGCACATAGCTACAACAAGGAGGATTCGAACCATGAATGTCTCTATATTATATTACAAAATACTTTGAGAACATGTTTCAACCATCTCTACATGTGAAATTCTTTGTGATTTAATGCAATTTTGTTGCCTTTTTAATTAATAACTAGTTAAGTAAAAAGATGGAAGGTACACATAGCTACAACCAGGAGGATTCGAACCATGGATCTCTCAATTTTAAAACACATTGGGGACGCGATTCAACCATCTCTGCATGCAAAATCCTTTGTGATTAAATGCAATTTTTTTTTTTTAATTCATAACCCGTTAAGTTAAAATTAAATTTTTAACCTCTAAAATTTGGGGCCCTGTGCTGTTGGGCTGCTTGCACAGCCCAAAATCCGACCCTGACAACAATAGTATTCAAACATAAAATGAAACAAGTCATGGCTTCAACATAATCTCCTCTTGTCCAGAATCTCCCTACACAATAAAAAAAAATTGAGAATAAATAATGAAGTCCATTACAAGTTCAAATGCTCATAAAGTCATAATTCATAAATCATAAATATTAAAGTAACAAGTAGTAATATAAAATAATATAAAAAATATTAAAGTAATAAGTAAATTCTTACCTTTTGTTTTTTCTTCAGCCCGTACTTGTTACGAAGCCAATCCCCACCACAAATAAGAGCTTCAATAGATTCCTCATTTAAGCTAGCCCGATATTCATCAATGACTCTTCCCCCCGGCACTAAATGTGGATTCAAATGCCACACTTGAAATAGGAACAGCTAGTATATTAGAAGCCATCTTTGATAAAACTTTGAACTTTGGACTATTATTTTTCCACCACGCCAAGGCACAAAAGGATGAAGTAGAAGAAGGAATAAAAAGATTTTTCTCAAGATAAGTCTCCAACTCTGATTTCGTAAGAGAAATTGATTGACTTTCGTAGACCATACTCAATAATTCTTGCATCCCTTTATCCATTTGTTGTCCACCATCAACCAGAGTGCTGCTTTCAATATTGACTTCACTATGTCCACTAGTAGAAGAAGCATCTTGACTATACAAGTTCACATGATCAAGATATAAATCTTCTAATGCCTTTTTCACCTTGTCCACGTTCTTTTCAACATCACTTGGTGTTTTACACAATAAGGGAAAAGTTATCTTAATACCATTTAATTTCATCCTTGGATCTAAAACACATGCAATACACATTAACAAATTGCACTCCCCCCAATATTTGTCAAATTTTGCTTTCATAGGTTTTGCCATCTCACTCATGAACATGTCAAAACACTCAGCTGCATTATCAATAACCTTTTTCACCCTTTGAATTTCAGCAAGATACAAGTTAGAAGTAGGGTAATCACTACCTGAGATGACATGAGTGGCATCATTAAAAACCTCCAAAAGATTACAAACCTTCTCAATCTTGTCCCAATCCTCAAATGACGGTGCATACTTATAATGTGGCTCTTTTTCATTATAATCTGAAAAAGGCATGCTTAAATTTACTTGCAGTACACAACATCAAGAATGTGGAATTCCATCTTGTTGGACAATCAAGAATAAGTTTCCTTTCTTTTAATCCTTTTAATTCAACAACTTCATGGAATGACTTTAGCCTTGCATCTGAAGAATGAATTTATAAATTTCACACTTTCACGAACATTGTGAATGACATCTTTAATAGTGTTAAGGCTATCTTGCACCAACAAATTCAGAATGTGAGCACAACATCTAACATGAAATAGTTGCCCACCAAGTACTAACTTACTACTCAATGACATGTTTTCTTTCAAACTTCTAACGCAAGAGTCATTATAAGATGCATTATCAACAGTTACCGAGAATATTTTATTCTCAATGCCCCATCATCTCAAACACATGAAAATAGCATTTGCTATATCTGTTCCTCGTCGAGGAGGAGGCACTTTCACAAAATTCAAAACTCTTTTCTGAAGGTTCCAACTTGCATCAACAAAATGACCTGTCACAACCATGTACTCAACTACTTGGTGACTTGACTTCCACATGTCTGTTGTAATGCTAATCTTACTCACATTATTCAAAATCTTTTTCAAAGTATTCTTTTCAGCTTCATACAATTGCAAACAATCACTTCTTGCTTTTTTACGAGAGACTCTTCTAAAATTTGGATTTGCATATTCAAAACCCCACATAAACATGACATCCTCTACGATGCTAAATGGTCGCTCATGCACCATGATTCCACCAGCAATAATCTCTCTCATCTTTTCATTGGAGTATTTAGCAATAGGAACAATAAAGGGATTACCACCAGTTTCACTAGGCGGGCGAAATTGTATCGTTGTTTGCTTATTTTCTCGAGAAATATGCAACTTCCGCTGCAAAAAAATCTCTGAGTGCCTTTTAAGATGGCTAGTGCTTGAACCCTTTCCACCAGTAGAGTATTTTTCCTTACAATACAAACACATTGCTTTCTTTGTACCATTAGCAAGTTCAATTTCTTCAAAATTTTGCCATACCGGAGATGTTTTTTTCCGCTTTTTTGTTATGATTGAATCATTATTATCAACCCTATTGACTTCTTCCGAATTGTTACTTTCAATTGGTTGACTTGAAGAAATTGATGGAGTTGTAATTGTAACTTGCACATTAACTTCTTCATGAATAGACTCATTTGTATTGTTACTTGTCATCCTATATAATTTTACAAATATTTAACTATTAATACACATAATCAATTACCAAACAACTAAACAGATTATTACTAAACAAATTATATTACTAATCATTGATTAGTAATATAATCTATTAATAATTATTACAAAATATTAGTTATAAAATATAATATAAAATAATTAAATATTAAATATATATTTTATATATAATATATATATAAACTGGCCAGGCCTGCAGGCTCGTAGGTCAGGCCTCCACATATAGGCCTGAGCCTATTTAACTAAATAGGCTATTAAATAGGCATAAGCCTAGCCTTTTAACTAAACAGGCCAGGTCATAGGCCCCTGTATAGGGGCCTGGCCTATTCCCACCCCTATGCGTCTATAATTGTTTTCATGTGTAAGTATACTTGTTAAAAACTTGTGAATCTTATTTCAAGTTATTTGACATTACTATTTTTTCCTTATTTCATTTAAATTTTAGTTATAAAAATATATATTAATTTAATATAGAGCCCATTTTTGTTGCTACGCCCTGGGCCTACACAATGATAGGACCGGCCCTGCACTCCACTCCTCCTTCTTCTTTCTTCTTCCAAGCATCACCAGAAGAACAGCACCACCGCCGACAGCCTTAGAAAACAAAAACAGCAACAACGCCGACAGCTTTATGGAGTGGAGAACGCGAAGATGCAGATTGAAGAGGGAGAGGGACCAGCCCACCTCCTTCGCATCTCGCCTTTGCGCAACGCCAACAACCGCCGGAAAACCGTACCCACCTTCGCCATCTTGCCTATCTTCATCGCTGGTACGCCATCGCCATGAAGGAGAAGCAACAACAGCTCGACCGGGATGCAACCATGGAAGCCAGCTTTACGCAGATTTCTGGATGACGAAGGTCCGATGGCCATTCCACAGGGTCTCATGGCGCTGCTGCTGCGCATCAGAGGTGGAGGAGACGCCACTGGAGTCTGAAGCTGCACGGTGGTGGAGCACCTCCGCAGGAACCTAGCAATTGCAGCACCCAAGCTCCTCGCTCGTAGTGCCATCCACATCCGTCGTCCACCGTCCACGACTCGCATCCTCGACAGTGACCGTAGGGGAAAATCACCAGAAAAAAATTGAGGCCCTTTTTTTTTTTTTTTTTTTTTTTTTTTTTTTAATCTCCGTCCCCGGCAAAGAAAAAAATTCAAGGAAAAAAAATTAATTAATGCTAAAAATAATAATTTTCAGCAGTCCAAAAAATCATATACAAACAAAACTTAATGTATATGAAATAAAATTATATTGTTTTTAGGAAAAACAATCAACCAGGCAGAGATTCATAAAGGCTCTGATACCAAATGTGAGATCTAAATATGATCTAACTATACACAGAATAATATACGAGAAACTTAACTCGTAGTAGCGGAAGCGGAAGCATTATAGATCTCCAGTCATAGTTGATATCATGTTGTATTGCCTTTGAACAGTAGATCTGCATAATAGGGTTCCTGCCTTTGCGTAATGATAGTCCTCCTGTCAAGCCTGGTCGCCCGTCCGGGTCCCGGGGAGTCATGCGGCTGGGGACGCACCGCCCCTCGTGATCTGGTTGCCCGTCCAAACCTCGTGAGATGTAGGATCATGGACACAGATCATCGTGGCTAGTCGCCCGACGACATCATCTCCAAGAGCCTGCCTGGGGATGTGCCGACGGGCAGGCTGGCTGCTAAGGAGCGCATCGTTGACCCTGTGGGCGTCTTGTGTCGTGGCTGGGAGGTCCCTGGAAATTTTCCTTATTTCCAGTAGTTAGCCATTAGTTCAGCTCCCTTATATGGTCTCCCGTCTAAGCGGCTAATTTGGGGTATCTATCAAGTAGTATTAAAAAAAATTAACTATCTAGGAATTAAACTAAAAGAGCAAACGGTGAACGAAGAAGAGTTCAAAACAATCATTAATAGTGATCCCTACATCATGAGATCTAGGAGCAAACAGTGAACGAAGACACGAGTTGAAAACAATCATTAATAGTGATCCCAACATGGGATCTGGGTATGACAGTGTCAGTGTCAGGTAGCAATGAAGAGCCGAACAATCAAAGCAACACCACGATCCTTTAACATGTATACTTATTTACAGTAAACTACTAACATTTTCATTCATCAAAAGCATAATCATAAATGGTATTTTCAAATTTAGGGAACTCGAGTTCCCTACATTTGCAAAATTATAAATAATTATTTTAGTGACAATCATAATCAATCTCGACTATATTAATTGCATTCATAAATTTAGAATTACACACTTAAATAAGCAAATTCAACATTTAATTATCTATGCATGAACATCCCCCATATAATTATGCATTGATATATATATATATATATATATATATATATATATATATATATATATATATATATATATTTGAATACAATTAACTCTATTATTGATATATGCTTATTTAAAAATAAATATTGGGCATTATTATTATTAGTAATTTTAATCTAGAGAAAGTGTCACTTTTACCCCCTAAGTTATATGCTTATAGCATTTTTTTCATGAGTTATTCATGTATCCACATTTGCCTCCTTAGTTATATTAAAAGTGGTAGTTTCCTCCCTTTTATGTTAGATAGACATTTTTACCCTTAAAACTAAGTATTTTATTTATTTTTCTTTTCTAACAAATTATTACTTATATGCACGGATGACCACGGTTCGGTTCGAACAATTTATTTTATTGCCAGTTCAAAATTTATTTCTTTATTTTTGTAAATTATATTTCTTATTTTTAAAATAATCTAAATTCAACAATTATTTTATTTTATTATATTTTTTTCGGTTCTGCATCATAACCAGAACTGTCCATACTATTTTGATTAAGCAATAATTAGTTGGCGAAGAAAAATAAATGAAATACTTAGTTTTAAAGGTAAAAATGTCTATCTAACATAAAAGGGGGGAAAACTGTCATTTTTAATATAACTGATGGGGCAAATGTGGATACACGAATAAATGAGGGGGAAAAGTTCTATAAACATATAATTACCTATGCATAAATATCTCCCATATAATTATACATTGATATATATATATATATATATATATATATATATATATATATATATATATATATATATATATATATATATATACTTATTTAAAATTAAACATTGGACATTATCTCATTCTCGTGAAAAACTAGTTATTATTATTAATTTATTATTATTATTATTAATTTTAATCTAGAATTGTATTAGGATTAGAAAAGTAGAATTGTATTAGGATTAGGAAAGTAGAAAAGAATATATTATATTAAGAATTGTTGATTCTCGCTTACTATATAATTTTCTATCAATCTGTGTAATGTTCATCTAATCGTTTTTAGGGCTAAAGCGAAAACGTTTAAGCCCTAGTTCCGGACTTTTCAAGTGTTTTCTTATCCAAGCCCCCAAGTTCCGCAAATTATGCCGTGGAATCGTGTTCACCGAGAATGGTGAACACAAGTCAAAACGACGTTGTTTTTAGGCAAAAAAAAAAAAAAAATCGCGAATGTGGAGTTAACGGCGCGTTACTGATCAAATTATGAATTTTCTGTTATGAGATTATGAATTTTATGAAAATTCATAATCTCATAACAGAAAATTCATAATCGCATAACAGAAAATTCATAATCACATAACAGAAAATTCATAATCTCACAACTGAAAATTCATAATCTCATAACAGAAAATTCATAATCTTATAACAGAAAATTCATAATCTCATGGTTCCAAAGTGAATGTGTAGGCATGGTTCCAAAGTGAATGTGCAGGCATGGATTCATAATTTATGAATGTCCGTGATTTCGGACGGGAATATGTAGGCATCGTTCCAAAGTGAATGTGCATGCATGAATTCATAATTTATGAATGTCCGAAACTCCGAAATTATGAATGTAATGAAAATTCATAATCTCATAACAGAAAATTCATAATCGCATAACAGAAAATTCATAATCTCATAACAGAAAATTCATAATCTCATAACAGAAAATTCATAATCTCATAACAGAAAATTCATAATCTCATGGTTCCAAAGTGAATGTGTAGGCATGGTTCCAAAGTGAATGTGTAGGCAGTCACGTAATTAATTAAAAAAAAAAAAAAAAAAAAAAAAAAGAAAAAAGAGATAACGGTGCACTAACACCGTTGGAACCGTGTTCACTATGAATGGTGAACACGGTTCCATGGCATAACGTCTCCCCAAGTTCTTCCCGGTTTGGTAGAAAAATGTCTAATTTTTGTGGCTCCAACGATTCTGCGGCGTCGCCGGTAGAGAAAGATTCCGGCGATTCTTTAAGAATTCCTCTGGGATATCGATTCTATCCCACAGACGAAGAGCTCATAAATCACTTCTTAAGGATAAAGATTGCGGATCCTAGCTTCTTCACAACAGACATAGAAGAGGCAGATTTGAACAGGGTGGAACCCGGTGTTGAGAGAAAACGATTTTTCTTCTGCCGGAGGGATATGATTATGAAGTACGCCACGGGATTCTGGAAATCCACCGGAGAAGACAGAGAGATTTTCAAGGGGAAAACCCTAATTGGGATGAAGAGAAGTCTGATTTTTTACCGAGGGAGTGAAAGGACAGACTGGGTAATGCATGAATACAGATTGGAGGGCGACAATCTTCCTCAAAACGCTAATGAATGGGTGATCGGTGAAGTCTTTCTGGAAAATAAAACATATATTCCCCCTTACGACCTACAAACTCATAAAAGGAAGGCCAACAATAATGGTGGAGTGAGGCAGCTCAAGCCAAAACTAACAACTCATAATTATACAACAATGGAAGACGGAGCGTGTGTTGAAGTCAGGTTCAACAATGATACTGTGATGTTCCAGCTTCCTTTTGCGACTGTGGATTGCTTGAAGGCAGAAATCCTAAAGAGATTCAAGACGTTCGAATCTCGCAAATATTTTATACAGTACAAAGATGAAGACGAACTTACCATCACAATATTTTCTGATCCTGAGTTGGATTATTGCTTGAAATTTTTCAAGTCCACAGGAACAACACCAGTCCCATTGTTTCTTCAATTGAGGGAATCCGTCCTGTGCCAACATTGTCTCTTCAATTGAAGGAATCCATTGCTCCTTCACTTGGACATGTTTAAATCCAAGCTACTGCTATTATGGCTATATGGATGACTTGTAATTTAGATATTTCTAACTTCTAAGTTGTAATTTGGACATTTATAACTTATAGTGTGTTGCAAAAGATTTAGCGATAGTCCGTTTTATACAACCACAGAAAACATTGACTAATATTACTTTTAGCGACGGTTTCGTAACCGTCACTTACAATTAAGTACTTTACTATTGCTTTATTGCTTTCAGTGGTGATTTTATAACCGCCACTATATGTCTGCTAAATATTTTTAATTTTTTTTTTTAAATATTAGTGACAGTTATTAAGTGCACCAGTCATATCCATCTCTATCTGTATTAATATAGCTGTGTTTTGATAAGGACAAAATATTAAATGAAGGAATCTATATTAATATAGCTGTGTTTTGATAGGGACAAAATATTATATGAAGGATTGATTAAAGATTGAAATGGTTGATATGCCCGAAGCAATTTTTTGAGGTAATTAAATAAGCAATTTTTTGAGGTAATTAAATATGATAATGCTTAGTCAGGTGCTTGGCATCTCTTCTCTAAGATGTGTAGCAAAGTATTGGTGGCTGCATTTGAGATGTCTAATAATTTCGGCTGTTGAATACTTACAAATTTCAAGGCATTTGAGATGTCTAATAATTTTGGCAATTTCAATAACTACACATTTTAAATTACAAATGATTCTTACAATCTCAAAGACTACCATTAATTGATTAAAGATAAGATGAATTTAAAATTTAAAAACAATATTTACAATTTACAATAATTTACAATGACCTCTATACCTGCTCCAACACTATAAATAAATCATCATTCCATAGCAAGTACTACATATATGTGAAGGAATCTGTAGACCGAAGACCGAAGAAAAAGAAATTCAAGAGGCATTGAGGAATCTATTTGTCATATTAGAGAGCAGCATAAACTCTTTGAGATTGCGATAAAGGGACAAGTAGGAGCTCCAACGAGACTGAACTGAAGAATGGAGTGCCATTTTCAGCTATATTAGGGGGTAAGTGACAGAATAGTGAATGAATGTATAAGCTTAGATTGTAGTCTTTCTTCTAATTCTGATGGAATAGTGAATGTAAACTTAGATTGTGCACCACTGTTTGTATAAAATAAATTTTTGCAGAAAGAGCCATTCCAATGAAAGTGATGGAGCAAACTGGTGGAGCAAACAAATTATTATGCTATATTAAAATATAGCTTTTTTAACCCAACCAAAAGAATAAACATGTCAACACATTCTAACCACATAAGGTACATTATTTTTTTGTTGCAAAATATATATATCCTTAATATTTTGAAGAAAATGTTGCCATCTTCCATTTTTTTGGAAAAAAAAATGTGAATATTATTTTGGTATAAACAACATACACAGACATTTATTACAAACAAAAGTAAGTCACATTTAGCAGGCTCAAATAGCTCAAATATCACACTTTCTACTTTTGCTCAAATATATATATATATATATATATATATATATATATATATATATATATATAGTTGCACTCGGGTGCGAATGAAGAGCCCAGCAGTAAATATGTGAATGCCTGATATCCGTCCACATGTCACGATCTAATGGATGAGAAACACTGATTTTTTTTTTTAAACGCGGTGGTATTTTTGTAAATAATTGAACATTGAAGTGCAAGTAAAATGTATTACAAGTGCATATAAAATGTATTATAGGTGCAAGTAAAATTTACACTGAGCATCAATACTAAGTGCACCTATAGTTATAAGTAGTTGCACCTATAGTTATAAGTAGGTGCACCTAGGTGCATGAATGTTTGTGGGTGGATTTCACGGGTACTAACTACTCGCATGAATGTTTGCGGGTGGTTTTCACGGGTACTAACTACCCGCTGAACTCCTCCGCAAGAATGAACTCAAATCAGTGAATGTTAACAAGGCAACATTACATGCACTTATAGGTGAAAGTAGGTGCACTTGTAAGTGATTTTACCTGCACTTTTTACTTGCATAGGTGCACCAATTATTTGCACATATAACAGATTTACATGCACCGAGGACATGTGTCACGCGCTGATTCATTTGCATATTCGTTCCTGGGCACTTATGTAACACCCTACTTTAATTTTCAAAAATCTAAATCCCCTAACTTTAAACAAGATTAAATAACTTAAACCAACCAAAACGGGTGTCACCACCACAGTCATCACCCACGGTGACTGCACAGGCTACAAAAGGATAACTAACTAGAGTCAAGGTCATTAAAACAACATTAAAAACTTGGGGAACAAACCCCAGTGTCCAAGCACCAACAACGAAACAATCAACAACATCTAACATCAAATATCTAAAGTTGAATCTAATCTAGAATCTACCACCTCAGTTCTACGCACTAATCTATATATCTCGTGCGCTCTCAAACACTGGGCCCACCTGAAAGAGGTTATAAAAACAAGTAGGAAAATAAAACCGTTAAAAAATTAATACTAAGTATAAGACCACTCAACCCTGTAACATACTATCGATATAGGTTGGAAAACATTTGGCAAGCACACGTAATCTCAAGTACTTTCAACACTTAAACCACAATCTCAAATCATACTCATAAACAACTCTATATGCTTGCAACCTATACTTCATATAATCATGTTTTCTCAAGTACTCAACTAAAACACAATTATCATGCTTTATACAGATATCTCTAAACATAGCTCAATACACAACTCATGCTCAAACTAATAGATAAAGGGATACTTAAAACTCAACAAGCAAGCTCATGTTATCATGCCAACTCATAAGCAACAACAAAGTACTGTACTTCTTATCATACTCTAATGCAATTCATGCAAATCATGCAACAAGAAAAGTCATGATGCTATAAGTATATATGTATACTCTCGCTCTTATGTAAAAAGAAATACTTTTACTGTGGAGGTTTCTATTGAGTCACATAGCCTCGCTTTTTTTTTTTTTTTTTGGTCTTGAGTCTCTTGACTCGCTTTTCTCTTCTTTACATTCTTGCTTTCTTTCTTTCTGTACTCGTGGGCGAGGTAGGAACTTCACCAATTTGTGAATGAACCTATCCGGGCTCGGCATCTAGTCGGCCTAATACTCATCTCGTCCACAGAACCACTCTCTTGGTTCTTATCTCAATCTCTGTGGAATCAGGTATCGTACTTGTCTGTGTGCACACCCCTTAACCAAGATTCCAAGCCCCGCGGGTAGTATCCAACCTAGCAACTCGGGAATATCGACAAAGTTACTTCATAAAATCTGTCGATCCTCTTTGACCGTTTCTTTCCTTTCTCAAACTTCTTTCTTTCTCTTTTCTTCCGAAAGGACATAGTCATAGCGGGCCCCCAAAACTCTATTTTTCTCACAATAGATAGTATATAGATTTATCTCATGCAACAAACTCTAACTTATGCAAGCTTTGCTATGCACATAAATCTCAACAACTTCTCTTTTTCACATTTTGGAAATCAAATATCATGCAATCTTCTCAATACGAATAGATAGTGATTTTCCAAAATAGATATCGGTCTTTGAAATATGACTTAGGCTTTACTTAGAGCCATTTATGCACTTTGCTCAATGAAATCTACTAACATGCTCTTTACTGTAAAAATGTTCTAAATATCGTTCACTGGCATGAGAAAGTGATCGTTCATTCAACAGGAAAGAAGTTACAACTGAAACACTAAAGTAGAGTAATAACCGTAAACTACTCCTATACAATAGGCTAGTCAATTATATTACCTTATTGACTAATTCTAATATAATAGGAATTAACAATAACAGTCAATTATATTACCTTATTGGTGAAAATATCTACTAGCTGATCCTTGGTTGAAACAAAGTTGACTGTCATGTCCCCTGAGGCGACCTTGTCCCGGACAAAATGGTAGTCAATTTCCACATGTTTCGTTCTGGCGTGGAAAATCGGATTGGCGCATAGATAAGTTGCCCCGAGATTATCACACCATAGTGTAGACGGCTGGGCGTCGTGCAGACCCAATTCACGAAAGAGAGACACTATCCATGTAACCTCGGTCGAGACATCCGCTAAGGCCTTGTATTCTGCTTCAGTAGAGGAGTGGGCGACGGTGCGTTGCTTCTTGGAGAGCCATGAGATGAGATTATCCCCGAGAAACACGGCATATCCAGTGGTGCTCTTCCTGTCAACCGGGCATCCGGCCCAGTCAGAATCTGAAAAGGCATGAATAGCAAACGACGTGGACACTGACAGCCGTAGACCATAGGTTAGCGTCCCCTTAATATATCGAAGCACTCGTTTCAATAATACCCAGTGATCAACGGTGGGAGAGTGCATGAATTGACATAACTGATTGACCGCGAACGATAGGTCCGGCCTTGTAATTGTTAAGTACTGAAGTGCTCCAACTATGCGACGATATTGAGTTGGATTGTCAAATGGTTCCTGTGTAGGCGAAACGGCTTGAGTAACGGCAGCGGGTGTAGCAAGTGGCTTGCAGTCAGTCATGCCGGCACGAGCCAATATGTCATTCATATAACGGCGTTGAGATAACATCATACCAGAGTCTAGCATTACCGTCTCAATGCCAAGAAAGAAGCCGGGAGTGCCAAGATCTCAAATTTTGAAAGTGTCTGATAGTCGGCTAAGCAGAGTATCTAGTACAAAAAAGGTTTTAGAGTCTCCCAAAAAACACTTTCCGAGTCACCTGTACAGGTGACTCGGATCTTGGAGACTGTGAAAGTCCTCCGCTTTCCGGGTCACCCGTAAAGAGTGACTCGGAAAGGGGAAGATGATTTTTTTTTAATTTTTTAATACGGACTTTCCGAGGCACCTGCTCCGCTGCAGGTGCCTCGGATAGTCCTTTATTATTATTTTATTAATTTGTTTCCAAGACACCCACTTACAAGTGGGTGCCTCGGATAGTTCTTTATTATTATTTTATTAATTTGTTTCCAAGACACCCACTTACAAGTGGGTGCCTCGGAAAGTTACCATTTTTTTAAAAATAAATAAATAAATAAATAAATAAATAAATAAATAAATAAATAAATATATATATATATATATATATATATATATATATATATATATATATATTCCGAACTTGAACTTTATTCCACACAAAAGAGGCACAAGGCCTTTACAAGATAAGTGAATTTACAGTTTTCAACATGATTTGTGTACAAATAGCTAATAAATCTAAAACATTTTTTTACCATAAGCATTTCAATCTCCTCCTTTGTTGGGCAAAACATAATGATGTTCTCAACTTGATCAGCATCTATTGCTGAATCTTCCAAGGCAAGCACAGAACTCTACCAAATAGAAGAAATGTATCAGAACTCAGAAGCATAAGTATATATCATTTCATATACATTTTGTTCAAACAAAACAACATCTCTAGTGCATGCATCACCTGCATAAATTCAGGAAGTTGAGCTCAAAATAACAAATTAGAATTAAGTCTCAAACCAACATTGAAATAACTTTTATCAAGTGATGATAGAATCAGAAGTCATCACCTGCACAAATTCAGGAAGTTAAGCTCAGAACAACAAGAACTAGAATTAGCTCTCAAACCAACATTGAATTAGGTTTTATCAAGTGATGATAGAATCAAAAGTCTCTTAACTTACAAACACATGATGCTATATAATGGATGTTTCAGAAATTTATGAAATGAGAATACCTTTGCATGCAGTTCAATACAAAACTAGATACAGGATACTTCTTCTCTCCACCACCATTGACAACACTGAAGCAAAAAGAAAATGTTTTATGTACTAATTGTTGGATATTGGTGAATAAATCGAAACACAAAATATATATAAAATATATATTTGTCCCGAAAAATGGAATTTAATTTATAGAAAATTAATTCCAACAAATTTTGGTACGAAACCAAAATTATATATATACGATATATATATATATATATATATATATATATATATATATATATATATATATTAACCAAATAGGGATTTATTTTATCAAAAATAATCCCACCACAACTAGTACGAAACTAGTACACGGGACTTAATTTCCACAAAATTAATCCCACCACAATTAGTACGAAACTAGTACAAGGATTTAATCTATCCGAGATTAATCCCACCACTTGGTCCGAAACCAAGAACAAAAATAAACAAGATACGGGTTTCTAACCTGAGGTTTTAACCCAATGAGAGGAAAAAAGAAGCATAGGAAATCCGAGTCGTGTGTACACACACTCTCCATAAAACCGATTCGCCACCTCCCGAGGGTGCTAGGATCGTTGTGGCGTCAGTCTCCCAGGATAAAACGGATTACGACTTTGGCGTTCGAGCACTCCAACCCAAAGCCCGGCGAACTAGAACACAAGCTGAGCACTCCGATGTTATACGGAAGATGATGGCAGAATTTCTTTTTTCCCTTTGTAATCGAGCAGGAGAGTTTGAGAGAAAATAAACAAAAGTTTTGAGAGTTTCAAAAATGGAGTGAAATTCATTCTGCCAACATCCACAACTATTTGTAAGGGAAAAGGAATTAAAACATTATAATGGCCATTAATCCAATCATAAATCCAAGATTTAATAATTGGATAATAACGTTTGAAACGGTCGTAATTATTATCGTAATAATTCCAACGGTCACGAACTTAATACGCGATTAATTCGTACCGACCACAACGACCCGGTTCAAAATATCTGAGTGACCGAGAAGTCCGTACAAACCCGAAGGTTTAACAAATTGGGACTGAAAACCACACCCGAGTGGTCCACACGCACCGAAACGGTGCAGCACGAATCAATATTGCATATAGCATTGACTCGTGCTCACCGAATCCGCAGCACGAAAGGAGCTCACACGAAATGAACTCATAACTCAATTCACTAATTAAGCTTTAGTTCCATTTCTCAAATTAAGCTCCCAAAGCTTAATTACACAACTTTCGTGTAGCACTGAATGCTAAGCACGAAAGGAGCTCCATTCCCAATTCACTAATTAAGCAAACAATGCTTAATTACTTAAGCTTAATCAAGCTTATTTCGTGTACAACGAATCAAAGCTTAATAACAAGTTGCTAACTTAATTAGCAATTAGCTTAAGATTTTGACTTCTCCCAAATAGATTCACTTTGAGAATCAATTTCTCATTCACCTATTACCCATTTTGAGCGTACATTATATCAAATTCTTCGTCTCACTACGAAGAACCCGAATCCACTTTGACCCGACCCAAATCGGAAGTGGACCCACATATATTTGTACCACAAAATAACCACTCAAAATGCCATTTTTGCTAAACATTCCAACAATCCCCCACATGAATGAAAATTGATTTTCGGGACGAGGAAAAATCGACACGAACGTGCTCAACGGTCGATCCCTGCATAGCATAGGTAGGTGTTACCCTTTGAACCTTGCCTTGTGAAGATATGTTTACTCTACTGGCTGTATGGTAGAACTTGATGTCTTTGAACCAACTGCCGTTTGTGTAGACGATGACATATCCCACACAGGAACCTTCCAACCTTTGTTCTGTTCTCATGGGTGTGCCCGTTTTGGTCATGGGTCACCTTCCTGGTTCTGCGAGAGTTTCTAAAGAATTGAGCCCATCAATTCTCCTTTGAAGCGACCCCATTTCTCTCTAACATAGGTAATTCTTTATCGAGTATCCCGCATACTCACACATGTCAACCGACATTCGAATCATTAAAGCATCAACATGCTAGCCTCATGCGGGAGTCACTGTTCTAACGAGGAATGGTAGGGAGTCCGGGACCCCCACAGTGACACGCTTCGTTCCATAATTTAGTTGTCCCATTGAACTTAGGTGCCAGCTAGGTTGGGTGTCCACTATAGAACTTTTATTCCATGGGCTTCAAACCCATTCCTCGTTCCAATTTCTCAACAACCATTTGCTTACCCTCGAGTTAGCGAGTTAGCGGCCGCTACGTTATCTTTTGACATCACTTAGTCAATAGAGATAACCATGTTGTGAGAAATTGTTTAATGGTATTATGTCTACGACTTATAAGTCTAGACTTACCATTCCACATCTAACTCTGTACTTAACCAATTTTGGCTTGACTAATCGCAACACACACAAATTGGAGGTACGAGTTTATCTCTAGGAACATTCCCGAAAAATGGCATAGCCATTCGGCCTACTCGCTCGCGACATGAGTGTAATGCTCTCAGCTTTGATCCCGTCATGGATCTTAGCTATCACAGATCGTTTCGAGAATTTCCTTACAACCAACTGCACTGGCCTACGTAAACACGTAGCCTTCAATGGACTTAGTGTCCTTTGATATCTTTTTAACGTGCTATACTTTCCAAATACAGCTAGATATCCCACGTAGTGTAGTCCAAAGTCACGAGCATACCTTAAGTATCTCATAACTTCCACTATTGCCTTCTAGTGCGTATCACTAGGGTTACTCGTATGTCAACCGAGTTTGTTAACCGCAAGAAAATATTCGGCATAGTACCACCCATTTGATACAATTAAACTACCAATAATCTGAATTTATTCTCCATGAGAAATACAATCTCCGTGATTATTGGCTAGTTGTACGTTAGTATCTAACGGTGTCCAAGCCACTTGATTATCATCCTTTGCAAGGATTCAATCAACACAATGAGATTGGCTTAATACGAGACCGTACGGTCTTCTCACGATTTTAATCTCGAAGATTAAATCTGCCAAACTCACACCTCTCATGTCAAATCTCAAATTTAACATGTTCCTGGTAGAATTGATCCTTTGATCGTTACTACCTACGATCAGTTTATCGTGTATAAACAAATAATGATATCACCGTTTATCGTATCCATTACGTAGACACACTTTCCACTTTCGTTTATACTAAACTCGTTGGTTATCATTGCATGATCAAACTTCATGTGCCAATCCTTAGGCAATTGTTTTAAACCATACAACAATTTCACCAATCACACACTTTCTTTCTATAGCGCGGAACCACAAAACCCTCAGGTTGTTCCATGTATATTAAGAAAGTGATTTTCCACATCCATTTGATGAACTTCCAAGTCTCGCTAAATGGCTATGGCAAGTATCACCCGAATGGATTTCATTCTCATCACAAGAGAATATATATCGAAGTAACCGTGGCTCTCGCGTTGCATGTAATCTACAATTACACACCCGGCCATTTACTTCAATATAACCAACCAGTTTTTATCTTCCGACACGTGATCCACTAAGATCCAGAGGTTTTACAACCCGGAGGAAGAACAACCAGTTTCAAGTATGATTCTTTAAGATAGAATCTACTTCACCTCGGTAGCCTCTCTCGTGTTGGTCCATCTGTATAAGTCACCACTTCTACATATGTTCGAGGCTCATTTTCTAACAACCATGTCAGAAAATCTGGTTCATTTCCTAGTAAACAAGTTAGAATATGCGCATCACATTCTAACATGTACGTCAGAAAATATGGACCAAAGGATTTTTCAATCCTAGCTCTCTTGCTACGTCTAGCTTCGAGCTCGGGTTCTCTTTCACACCCTTCAACCATAGCTACGCCGAAAGTTCCTTTCAACGTGCTAGGTCCTTTATTGATCCTTCACAAAAATACATCTTCCAAGAACGATGAATTTCTTGAATCAATCTTTCGTGTTCTTATGTACGTCCAGAACATAGGACTCGTGTACTAAGAACCAAAAACCGCCTTTAGCAAGACACCCCCACATTTCAGGTATTGGTAGGAAAGCTTCCTACGTACCCATAACCCATAAGAAGCCTTATCGAGTTTCGTGCGGGTAACCTTATTTTAAAAGGTACTTACTTGTCCAAAGTCTTGTCTCACCCCACACACTTTGAGGTAGACCCGAACTTATCAACGTCTTGATATTTATGTTCGGCAAAAACGTTCGATTGAAGTGAATCCCGTGTCGTACGCTCGAGTACGATACCAATGCTTGCGCAGAAATCACCAATAGGTGTTTCGTATTCACCACATCGATCGTTTCTAACCGCCTTAATTCCACGATTAAGTTGGTTTTCCACTTTATTCTTATAAAGAATAAATTTATCAACAACATCATTTTTGCCCTCAAGCAAAACTCACATAGCACTACCGAGTGCTATCGTTGATACTCCGAGAAGTACATCCAAGATGTCACCCGAAGGTACCCGAAAGGTTACGTACCTCCACTTCTCGATAACTCGCCTATGACCGAAATGTACGTTTACTTCTCGATAACATGGCCTAGAGGTGCTTCTAGCACTTCTCAAACCCGAGATGTGCGCTTCACTTCTAGGTGGTTTTGCCACATCACAAATATCATATTTGTGCTTATCATTAAATTTGGAATATGGTCCATGCTAATTAATCTACGTATAGATTCAAAATTACCATGACCTTGTCTACCGTGCCACAAACACGAAGACCCAACCAGGCAAGACCAATTAATAATGTTCTTATTAATTACGGTTATTACACCGAGCTTATAGCCCAATTAGTAATTAACCCTTG